GCCGCCGCCGCAGCTGCTGCTGCTGCTGCTGCTGCTGCTGCTGCTGCTAACGCCCCACAGAAGGCAAGCCTAATGTGGAGGCTGGGCTGCTTAGGCGGCTGGGTCCAGTCACTGTCTTCTTCTCTTGTTTATCCTTCTCGAGTTTCTGTTGCTTGTGGAGATGCAACAATTCGTGCTGCTGATATATCTTCTGCTGGGGGTGCACAGCTGCAGCAGCTGCTGCCGCTGCAGCCGCTGCTGCCCATGGTAGAGCCTGAGGTTTACTTGCTGCCACCAGCGGTTGCTGCTGCTTCGGCTGCTGCGCAGCAGCAGCAGCTGCAGCCAGCGCTGCCCTTCCCGGCTGCCCTGCCACCCCTGCCGCCTCAAAACGAACAACAGCAACAGCAGCAGCAGCAGCAGCAGCAGCAGCAGCAGAAGCCGCTGCAGCGGTCCCCCCTTGAGCTTCTCAGCTGCTGCAAACCCTTCTCTTCTGCTTTGTACTGGAGAGATCTGCAGGCAGCAGTAGCTGCGGTGTCTGTACACCCGCGCTGGCCGGGCCTTGTGGCCTTCGGGCTGGGGGACGGCCATTTCGGTTTGCTGCAGCAGGAGACTTCTGAGGGCTGGCAGCAGCAGCAGCAGCAGCGCGCTGTCACTCTCCTCTCCACCAGACAGGCCCTAGTTGCCCCCACTACTGAGCTCTGCTGGCTGCGGCTGCCGCACTGCTGCGGCGCCTGCTGCTCTGCCAGCAGCAGCAGCAGCAGCAGCAGCAGCGAAGGACCTGCGGCAGCCGGCCAGGCAGGCGAGGAAACGGACGTGGACACCGCAGCGGCTTGTGCCGCTGCTGCAGAAGGTGCAGAGGCGTGGCAGGAGGGGACTCCTCGTCAGGCAGAATTGCAGCAGCAGCAGAAGCAGCAGCAGCAGCAACAGCGGCAGCAGCAGCCCGCATGGCTGCTGGTCGCGGGAACAGCAACAGGGCAAATACTTGTTTCTCAGCCCTGCATGCCAGCAGCCCAGCCAGCGCAGCCGCAGCAGCAGCAGCAGCAGTGGCGGCGTCAGGAGCAGCAGCAACAGCAGCTGCAGCAGCAGCACGAAGAGCAGCAGTGCTGCAGCCCCGTGGTTGTGGCTTTCGCGGAAAACGACTCCCCGGCAGAGGCAGCAGCAGAAGCAGCTGCTGCTGCTGCAGGGCCTCGCGTGCGAATGGAGCAGCTTTCAGGGCTGCTGCCGTTCGCTGTGTCTGTGCCCAGAGGCCTCCCCGCTGCAGCATTAGCGGCACTGCAGCAGCATGTCGCTGCAGCAGCAAAGGTGCTCGGCTACAGCCCTGAGGCTGCTGCGTCTTGTGCTGCAGCTGCCAGCGCAGCCCAGGCCCAGCTGTTGTGCGTCTTCGACGGCAAACTGCAGCAGCGCCAGCAGCAGCAGCAGCAGCAGCAGCACCCGCACGGCAAACAGCCCCAGGTTCACTTACACGTCATGGCAGCAGTGGTGCCGCCGCACAGGACCAGCAGCAGCGATCCCAACCCCAGCAGCACAAGCAGCACCAGCAGCAGCAGCAGCAGCGGGGCGGCGGCCCCGGTGGCTTTCGTTTCCCTGGGAAGGCTCCCTCTGTCCCTCAGCAGCAGACCAACAGCAGCAGCAGTTTGGGAGGGCGAGACCAGCAGCAGTGTCCCTTGCTGCAGCCCAGAGGCTGCTACAGCCACTCAGGATGGTGCAGCAGCAGCAGCAGCAGCAGCAACACGCCCTGCGTGTGAGTTCTCTGCGACAGAAGCGCTGCTGGCCGTAGGTGACGCTGAGGGAGGTCTTTGGCTTGCTGCTTGGCGGGAGTTGTTGCTGCTGCTGTTGCTGCAGCAAAGCGCGCAGCGCTCAATAGCCGAGACCCGGGCTTTGTTGGACATCTGCTGCTGCAGCCACAGCAGCATTGCGGCTCACGCAGCAGCAGCTGCTGCTGCAGCGACGCCTGCGAGCAACGGCGCCGGGGGAAACGCCGCAGCTCAGCAGCAGCAGCAGCAAAAGAGCAGCAGCAGCAGCAGCTGGGCACTCACTAGCCTGGCCTGGGTCCTGCGGTGGACCCGAGACCCCAAGGGGCAGCTAAGCCGCCCCCAATTCCTTCTGGGAGCCACCTGTGCGGGAGGTGCTGCTGTTGTGGTTTCAGTTGCTTCTGCTGCGGCGCCGGGGGCGCAGCAGGAAGCTGCTGCAGCAGAGCAGCAGCAGCAGCAGCACCAGCAGCAGGGGAGGCCGGGGGCAGGGGCGGCGCTGCAGCACCTGCGACGTATCAAACCTGCAGCGACGCCGCTGGCCTGCCTCCGCAGCTGCTCGGGGGCCTCTGTGGAGCAGCAGCAAAGCGGGGGCCAGCTGCTGCGCTGCTGCTGGGTGGAGCAGCTGGTGCCCTACGCGGTGCTGCTGCTGATAGGTAAGCAGCAGCAGCTCCTTAGCAGCAGGGCCTGCTGCAGCCCAAGAGCTTAGCGCAGCACCGGGGGCTAGAGTTTAGGGCCTAGAGGTAGGGTTTAGGGTGCAAAGCTACAGCAGCAGCACCTACGGGTAAGGCTGTCCAGCGCTGCATCTGCTGGACATCGTGCTGCTGCTGCTGCTGCAGCTAATCTGCATGTGCAGCCGTGCTGCTGCTGCGAACTCAGGGGGAGTCGAGCAATGCGTCTTTCTATGGGACCCTCTTCGCCTGCCTCTGTACCCTCCCCCTAGCAAGAAGCCCTCTACAGCAGCAGCAGCAGCAGCACCGAAGGCGGGGCACGCCAAAGCAGCAGCACAGCAGCAGCACGAAGCTGGAACAGCCCCTGCCAGCCAGGCAGCAGGCGCTGCCGCCAGTGGCGACCTGCGTGAGGGGACCCCCGCAACAGCAGCAACAACCACAGCAGCAGCTGCAGCAGCAGCAGCAACGGAAGCAGCTCCCAGCATAGCCGCCTCAAACACGCCGTCCTCTCCCGCGGCTAAGAGCAGTGCAGCATGTGGGACAGAAGCGTCTGTTAAATTGGAAGCAGCTGCAGCAGCAACTGTTAACTTCAGTGAACCTGCTGCTGCTGCTGGGGCAGCTGCTGCTGCAGTAGAGGGAGCCTGCTGCGGTTGTGTCAATTCATCCCAAGGGCTGCAGCAGCTGCGGCAGCACTGCAGCAGCCTGAGGGTTGACAGCTTTAGTAAAGCTGCAGTGGAGGCAGCAACTATGTACGTAGACGGCCAGTTGCTGCATGGGCAACCAGAGCAGCAGCTGCAGCAGGAGCAGCAGGAGCAGCAGCAGGAGCAGCAGAGCGCGTGGCTGCTGCTGTTCTTGCTGGGGGACAACAGCCAAGCCGCGCGGGCTGCTGCTGCGGCAGCTCTTCCTTGCCTTCTCAGCGGCTCAAAGAAGGTATGCCTTGAAGGGCCGCAGCAGCCACGGCAAGAGGAGCATCGCCTGCAGCAGTAGCAGCAGCAGCAGAACGTAGTCGCTGAGTAACAGCAGCAGCAGCAGCCGACGTCTTTCAGCAACAGCAGCAGCATCACTGGCAGCAGCTGCTGCTTCTCAGGCAGCACTGCTGCTAGCTGTCTATTCTTTTTGCTGCTGCCTTTCTGCAGGAAGACCCCTCCGGCTTTGCTGCTCGCCTCGCGGCCTTGTGGCTTTCGGGGCCCCACGCGGCCCTTGAGCTGCACGGGGAGCTGCCGTGGCAGCAGCAGGAGATGCAGCAGGAACTTGCAGCCGGGAAGCTCCTTGCGGAAGCCAGTGACAGCAGCAGCAGCAGCAGCAGCAGCAGCAGTTGCTGCTGCTGCTCTTGGTTCTGGCTTGCCGTTGCTGCAGCAATGGGCCTCCACCCCGCAGCGCGGACTTCGCTAGCTGGCAGCTTCCTTTCTTCAAACAGGTTAGCGCCCTGGGGTCTTAGCGCCATCAGCAGCACAGCAGCTAGCTAGCTAGCTAGCTAGCCGGCTAGCCAACTAACTAGCTAGCTACCTAGCTAGCTAGGTGGCTAGCTAACTGGCTAGCGGGGACGGTATTAGCACTAGCTGTGCTTCTATCCGTGATGCTGCTGCTGCTATGGACGCTACAGAAGGGATTACGGCTACTGCTGCTGCTGCTGCTGCTGCTGCTGCTGCTGTGGCGCTCAGGTCATGCAGCTCTCCTCATATGCGAGCTGCGCTGCTGCTGGTGTGTGGGTTGGCGGCGGAGGCAGTGGAGGTGTACATACACTCCAATTTGGTTTCTTTAGCGCTTCTTTTGGCCCGCCTGCATTTGCCGCGGGACCACCCGCTGCAGCGCGAGGCCCTAGACTCCTGGCTAGCTGAAGCTGCAGAGCAGCAGCAGCAGCAGCAGCAGCGGATAGGCCGTTTGCTGCGGCTGGCGCTGCAGCTGGAGAGCCGCTCTTTTGTCAAGTAGCCCTGGCTTTGCTGCCAGAGGCAACCGGAAGTTCATAAATACTTGGCTGAGTAGCTAGTGGAACCGTAAGGCAGCAAAAACGAAAATCTGCTAGTTTGCTGCTGCTGCTGCACTGCACGCTTCGGACCCTAAACAGTACTCAATTGTCTTATTAGTTCCTTACTGGGGGCCCACCGTAGTGGGGGCCCCCTGTAGTGGGGGCCCCCCGTAGTGGGGGCCCCCTATAGTGGAGGACCCCCGTAGTGGGGGCCCCCCGTAGAGCGGCCCACTATGGGAGCCCCTGTAGTAGGGGCCCCCCGTAGTGGGGGCCTGTTGTAGTTTTGGATATTTCCAAGGGAGCAGCAATTGGCTTGGAGCGTTGGGGGGCCCTCTTATTTAGGAAGCAAAATGATATTTAGTTGGCTATGAGGCAAAGCAGTGCACCGGGGGCCGATGCCCAGCAGCAGCAACAACAGCAGCAGCAAATACCCGCCTCTGCTGCAGTAGAAGCAGCTGCTCTTAAATCCGCCGCATTTCCACTCCGGTGCTGCTGCGGGTCCTTCTGAGGATGCTGAGAAGGCAGCTTTTGCTCGGAAGCTGCGGCTGGCCATCAGGAGCCATGTTGCTGCTGATTCTGCTGCTGCTGCTGCAGCGCAGCACGAGAGCCTTTTAGCAGCAGCAGCTTTTATGTAGGCAACATGCATCTGCAGCGCATGCAAATTATGCGCAAGTTGCGGCTCTCGGCACTGCGCCAGTGCCCTCATGTACATAGCGGCGAGCAGCAGCTTTTGCTGCATTAAATACAACAGAATATTATTTTATAGTTTAATTTGTAATGTTGCATTTCCAGCGTCTGCTGCTGGTGGCCAAGCTGCTGCTTTTGCCTTTGAGGTCGCAGCAGCGACCTCAAAGGCAAAAGCAGCAGCTTTCCCTTCTCCCCAGCTAGCCATAGATCCGTCAAGCTAGCTAGCCGTAACTCTCGCTGGCTAGCCATTCGTCTCCCTAGCTAGCCATAGCTCTCTCTAGCTAGCCATAGCTTTCCCTAGAAGGCCATAACTCTCGCTAGCTAGTCGTAGCTCCCTCAGCTAGCCATAACTCGCGCCGGCTACCCGAGAGCCCGTGCAGCCGTATCTGCCTCTTCTTTAAAAGAAAGATCCTGTTCATTAAACAACAGGCGAAGTTCAAAGTGCAAATAAATTTGCCCCCCCAAGCCTCACTGTACCTTTTTACAAATGATTGTAGCTGCTGTAAAAGGCTTAAAAGCCTTTTACAAATAACTGTAGCCGCACATCCAAGCCTTCTGTAAATGATTGTAGCTGCATATTCAAGTTTTCATAGTTTAAAAAGATTAAGGGAGTCATTTATTTTCAGCTTTCTATGCGCGGCGCTGGAAAGCGTTCGAAGCAGGTTGGCTGACTTTTGCAAGAGGAGCGTTCAGCTTGCTTTCCGATTTTTTCAACATTGAATGACTGATCCTACTTACATTTTTTAATTGTTTTTGAAACAATTTGTTTTAAAAACAGTTTAATTTGCCCTAAAAGCAAATTGAATTGCCTTTTAAATGTACATAGGATCGGCTTCGAGACACAAATTCCCTTCTGAACTGGGCGACGCAGTTTGTTCAGTTGTGCAGATTCAGCGATTGCCAACATATATAGAATGAGAACTTTTTGAGGAAAGTTGCCCCTTTAATACCATTGAACTTAATTCCCCGGCTTCTCTGACCGCCAGAGCTTTTAAGTATTTCATCTGTGCTGCAGCAAGACAGCCTGCAGCAGCTCAGTGCTGTGGCTAAGGCAGACAAGCAGCAAACCTCTCCTTGAGAGCAATATCGAGTTCGCTCCCACAGTTCCACTAGAGCTGCTGCAGTTTTAGTGAGGCTATCTCAGCATTTGCTGCTGCTGATCATGCTGATCTTCGTGCCATTTGCTGCGGCTAGCCCAGGCGTCTGTGCCTGCCTGTGTGTCTTCTGCAGAAAATGCTGCTACGAGTTTACTAAATTATCCCTCTCGTATCTGCCTTCTGCGCCAGTGCAGCTGCAGCTAAAGGGTTTGCATGCAATGCCATATCAGCATGGCAGCGTTTTGCATGCATGCATCTCTATGGGAGCGGAGCAGGGCTAGACAATTCATGCACACAAGAGAAGCTCTGGCTTGCATCTCTGTCAAGCTAAGCCGCAGTTTTTCTTGGCAAAAGCTTGCCTGCTGCTGGGCAGCAGCTGGAGCTGGAGGAGTTGCTGCTGCTCCGCCGGTGAAGAGCAACTCTTGAGCACAGTCACACAGCAAATCGAAGTCTGGCGAGCGATCTGGGGTTTTGTGCAGCCTTCAAGATCTATACTTTTGTATTTCGGTCTTTAAAATTCTTAAAATAACGCAGCGCGGAGCCAGCAGGCGCTGTAGCGGCGCCTCTGGTTCATGCTGCTGCTGCACGTTGGCTGCTGCAGTTGGCTGCAAGAGGATGCAGCAGCACCCACCCCAAGGATAGCACCATTTGCTGCGTCCACAATTCGTGTTATTTTGTTCTCTGTTCGGGTTAATCTAGCAACTTGCTGTTTCCGTTTGCAGATCTGTTGCGGTGCTGCAGCACCGCACAAAGCTGTTTCCGCAGAGGCTCGAAGCTGCAGCTAATCGATCAGCTGCTGCAGATGAAGAACACGGATGCAATGCCAGATCTATTAATGCAGAATTGTGCATAAATAATCCCTTTTAATGCCACCAAAGGATTGAAAGCTTGAGCGGGCAGCGCTGCTGCCAGCTAGGGTTTGGCCGGGGCAGACAGAGCCAACCGCGTCGCTGAGGAACTGCAGAATGGGTGGGTGATGCTGCTGCGGTGGCTTGGTGTTTGAATTCGGGCACATAAGTTTAAAACAGAAGCAGCAGCAGCAGCATAAGCAGCAGCAGCAAAAGCAGCAGCAGCAGATTCATCTTCAGTGCAGTTGCCTGTACGTCTGTTGCGGTGCTACTTGATTCGGCAGCAGCAGCAAGATGCTGCGGCGGCACTTTTTGTCTTTCCGTGTTGGCCTTCAACAGCTGCCTTAGTGCAGCAAAAATAAAAGAGCCAATTTTATTAATGAGAATATATTATACCAGTAGTTAATAGCAGCTCCTGGAGTTCCACATAAGCCCCCCAGCCACAGGGCCCCACATGCTGCAGCAAAAGGCTCAGCAGTTTAAGCCGGAGGCAGCAGCAGAGCTTCCTGGGCTAAAGCCTGGGCTGGGTGTGTAGGCCCCGGGGGACCCCAGCAGCTCGGCGTGGCTAGCTGCTGCTGCTGCTTCGAGGCTTTGGGGGTTTAGCTGGCTGGATGGTGGCAGGGGGCCTCTTAAGGGGCCCCTGGCCTGCTTTTGGGTTTCCTATGTGACTGTGAAGCTACGCTTGCTGCGCTGCAGCAGCCGCAGCAGCAGCAGCAGCCGCAGCAGCGGCGCGGCTGGCGGCGCAGAGCCCGCAAATCAACTAGCTGCTGCCCCCCAGAGGCGGCGGGCCTCCCGCATCCGAGCTGCGAGAAAAATATGGCCCCTTAGAGAAGAAAAGCTTTAGTTCTTAGGCGCTGCTGCGCTGCAGCAGCAGCACAGCCGTGGGTGGGGCCTCTGCGGGCATGCAGAGGCGCTGGGAGTGCACCTGAGCAGCTAATTAAACGGCTGTGTTCGGAGCGGAGCACTGGAGCAGCAAAAGTCTTTTCAAATTCGATTTTAAAATCACTAAAGAGCAGGTTAGTACACAGCAGTGCAGCCGCAGACGCTGTGCCGCTGCTGCCTTCCCCCATGCTGCCCCTACGCTACATGTACGTCCTGCTGCTGTACGGCTGCTGCTGCCCCTGGGGCCCTCCTTTTGTACTAACAAGTGTAAGGCGGGGTTACTTTTGTTGTTTTTTATCTCTTCCCGAAACATATTGCCGCTGCGTAAATACAGTAAGCTGCAGACCGCTTACTCTGTAGCTGCTGCCGTCGGCCTCAGCAGCAGCAGCAGCAGCAGCAGCGCGGGGCTCCTCTGTAGTTCTGTACGCATTTTTCGGGCCAAGTCGTTGCGCCTAGACCAGGGCATCCCGCGGGCTTCTGAGACAGCAACCTGAGGAGCTATTACCATCTAGCCTTATCTCCGTTGCTGCTGCTCCTGCTGCTGCCGTTCACGTACGCGCCTTGGCTGCTGCTGCTGCTGCTGCTACTGCTGTGCTGCAAGCCGGTCCCTCCTAAAAGCTCATAATCTTCTTAAGGCTGCTGGCCTCCAGGGCCTTCACATTTTCCAGCAGCAGCGCAGGCGGAGCAGCAGCGCGAGCGGCCCTGCAGCTCCCTGCTGCTGCAGCAGCAGCTACGAGCTGCTGCCAGACTTTGTCTTAGACTCCAGAGGCGCAACGGAGAGGAAGGCAGGGTCTCTTCAGGGGCCCTCGAGAGGCCCCTGGCTTTCCATTGCTGGGGCTATGCTGGGCGTGGGCATTCAGCGCAGCAGCAGCAGCAGCAGCAAGGACTGCAGCTTGCGCAGCAGCTAGCAACAGCAGATAGGCCTCTCCATGCCTCGCCTTTAAGGGCCCCTTTGCTGCCGTTGGGGCCCTTGCCAACCCTATGACGAGCACCCCTGAGGCCCAGGGCCTGGACCTGCAGCAGCTGCAGCAGGAGCAACAACTACAGCAGCTGGAGCTACAGCAGGAGCAGCAGCAGCAGCAGCGACAGCAGCAGAATAAGGGGCTAGGGCAACAGCAGCAGGAAAACAATGCGTCCGCTCATTTGGGGGCCGCTCAGCAGGGGGCCCCCAAGGGGCCCCCGGGACCCCAGCAGCTGCCCACAGAAAAGGATGTGCATGCAGAAGATGCAGCAACAGCAGCATCTGTTGCACCTGCTGAAGCAGCAGCAGGAGCAGCAGATGGGGCAGAAGACAGTATCATTAGGCGGAGCATCTTCGTGGATCTGAAAGGTCTGGGGGCCCCGTCTTGGCCCCCATCCGAGCCGACCCCAGGGGCCCCTTGGGGGCCCCCTGGGGTCGGCAGCAGCAGCAGCAGCAGCAGCGGGGGGGAAGCTGAAGACCTGCAGGGGACAGTAGCAGCCCAAGAGAGCTGCTGCGCTGCTTCTGAGGCGGAGGGGGGCCCCTCTCCCTCAGGGCTGCTGCCTCGCAATGGGACTTCCTCTGCTGCAGCTGCTGCAGTAGCAGCAGCTGCTGCTGCAGCGGCTGCTGCAGCAGCGGCGGAGGGCGAGGGGGCCTGCGGGGCCGCGGACCTCGCGCTGCTGTCGAAGAAAATGGACGAAGCAGCGCAGCAGCTGCGCGCTTTTGCTGCTGCTGCTGAAGTGGGGCTGCAGCGCTTCGGCATGCATGCAGAAGCCCTGCGTTCGGACTTAGCCGATATTTACGTTCGGCTGGCGGAGCTGACGAAGGAGCTGGACGATCTTCACGACGACGACGCTGCTGCTGCTGCTGCTGCTGCTGCTGGGCCTCCGGCGGCTCCGGCTGCTGCAGACGCAGCAGCAGCAGCAGACAGCTCCGCAGCTGCAGCAGCAGCAGCAGCAGCAGCAAAAGCTGAAGGGGGGCCGCCCACGCAGCAGCCAAAGCTTTCTTGGGCTGTTGACCCTTCAGTGGTTCGTCTCTCAGCTGCGCCGCCGGCTTTGGGGCTGGGCATGCTGGACGTGCTGCAGCACGAGGAGGAGCAGCAGCTGAAGCAGCTGCAGCAGCAGCAGCAGCAGCAGCCGCGGCCGCAGCAGCTCATCGGGGGGCCCGTCCTCTTCGGAAACGGACAAGTGGCGGATGAGTTCGATTCTGCTGCTGATCTTTATTTAGAAACTACTGATGTGCTGCGGCACTACTTGGTGGCTTGTGACGCTGAGAGGCTGCAGCAGCAGCAGAAGCAACAGCAGATACGAGAGGCTGTTCTCCGGCAGCGCCGGGAAGTCGCCCTCAAGCTGCAGCAGGAGCAGCAGCAGCAGCAGGAGCAGCAGCAAGCAGCACAAGGAGACCGGCAAGAAGACGCTTCAGATCCCGCAGCGGCTGAGCGAGACAGCTCAGGGGCGCCGTCACTCCCAGCAGCAGCAGCAGCAGCAGCAGCAGCAACGGCAGCGGAAACAGGAGCGGCGCCTGGGGAGGGCGTCGAGCCTCCGGTTCCTGCTCCAGCCGGAGCAGCCGCAGCAGCGGCTCCTGCTGCTGCTGCTGCTGCTGCAGCACCTGCTGCAGAAGAGGCCGAGGCGCTCAGTATAGGCTGTGGCGAACTCTATAAAGAAGACCTCTATGGGGGCCCCATCCACCCCTGGGCGGACTGCCGCTCGATTTTGTCTGCTGCAGCAGCAGCAGCAGCAGCAGTGGGGTGGCTGGTGGAGGACGGAGAGGGCCCGGAAGGAGAAGCAGCAGCAGCAGCAGCGCTGGCGGCCGGCGCTGCAGCAGCAGACGAAGAAGCAGCAAATGAAGCAGCAGCTGAAAACCAAGTGGCTCTCCACACTTCTTGTGCCTGGAGGGCCCCCTGCGCGCTGCTGCCGCACAAGCTGCGGGGCCCCGATGACCCCAGCCGGCCGCGGCCCCCATTGCTGCAGCAGGTAGTGCAGCAGCTGCAGCAGTCTGCTGAAGCTGCTGCTGCTGCGAAGCGCAGACACCGCCGCTTCCAGTACCCCCAGAGTGACTGCGCCTCAGTTGCAAGCGCAGACGCTGACCAGCAGCCGCAGCCGCAGCAGCAGCAGCAGCAGCAGCAACAAGTGCCAAGTCGGCACGGGTCTGCCTACCGACACGAGCAGCAGCAAGCAGAGCCTCAGCCTCCCCAGGTGCAGCAGCAGCAGCCTCCAGCGTCGTCCCAGCAGCAGCAACCGTCACAGCCTCATCCCCAGCAGCAGTCACAACAGCAGCAGCTGCAGCAGCAGCAGGAGCAGCAGCCGCAGGCTCCGCAGCCGACCCCGCTGCAGCAGCCGCGACAGCCGCCGCCGCCGCCGCAGCAGCAGCAGCAGCAGCCGCAGCAGCAACAGCAGCAAGCGGAGGCCGAGCGAGTGCCTGGAGTCGTGTTCGACCCCCAGAGGAACTGCTGGGAAGCGAGATGGGTTGAAGATGGCAGCGCCCATTCGAAGTCCTTCTCGGTGACGAAATACGGCAAAGATTTGGCCTACAAGCTGTCCGTACAGTGCAGGTGAGCGGCAGCAACATGCAGCAGCAGGAGCAGCAGCAGCAGCACGCGCTGCAGCAGCAACGGGGTGCAGCAGCGGCAGGCTCACAAGCAGCAGCGCAGCTCTGCAAAGTTCCTGAAGTGTCATTGCTCCGCTGCACCGGCGGCGAAAGCCAGTCTGTGTCAGTGTTCTGTGTGATCCTCCATTGCTGCTGCTGTGGCTCTTCTTCGGTGTTTGCTGCTGCTGCTGCGGCTGCTCGCCGGTGCTGCTGCAACAGTGCAGGCTAGCAGTGAGGCGCTGCTGCTTTTGTTTGCCTGCAGGCTTGCCCACGCGCCGGACGGAACTCAAGGAGCGACGGAGGCGAGCAGCAGCCGCAGCAGCAGTAGCAACAGCAACAGCAGCAACAGCAAGAAGGAGTTTGCTGCAGCACACGCAGCAGAGGCTCCTTCCCAGCCACGTCGCCGCATGCGTACAGGGGCAGGTGCAAGAAGGTCCGCAGTTTCAGGGCTGAGCAGTGCAGCCCACAGCAGCAGCAGCAGCAGCAGCAGCAGCGGCGTCAAGGCTGAGCAGCAGGCCATGGGGCCCGCTCGAGTCAACGGCCGGGGCAGCAGCCACAGGAACGGTGAGGCGTTGCAGCAGAGGCGCGGGCTGGAAGCTGTCTTTGAATATTATTTGTTTTATCAAATATGCAATAATGTAAATGTGCTGCATTTGTATTAAATATTTTACATGCATTGGTGCAGCGGTGGCACTGCCGCATTTTTGCGGATCCATGAACTCGAACAAAGATGCCCTCTTTGTCTTCTTGGCTTCCTGTGTTGCTGCTGTCGTCTTTTGCTGCTTTCTGCTGTTTGTCCTGCTCACGCGCTGCCTCGCTGCTGTGGCGGCTTATCCTTATACTGCTGCTGCTCTTGCTGCTGCGCTGCTGCTGCATTACATGGAGGATGTCGACTGTGGGCTCTCCTCATCTGTAACTCAAGTTCATATCCCTCACGCAGTGCATTTCACTACCGGCTTATTGGTTGCATGCACTCTAGAATATGAATGTTTTCGGATATTTATATAGTACGAACTGCATGCAGTTTCTAAATCAGCGCAACGGTGAGAATGTGAATCGTTGCAAATTGAACTGGTGCAGATGCATGCAGCCTGCAGCTTCTGTGCTAATAGGGATGGATTTTTTTGCTTTCTGGGGCTCAGGCATTCTGGGCGTTTCGTTTTCTCGCACTGGCAATGCGTGGCTGGCGTACATAAAGAACCGGAGCACCAAGAGCCAAATAAACCGCTACTTTCGGGTTTCTGTTTACGGCTGGAAAGGCGCCAAGAGGAAGGCAATAGAGGCCAGGCTCGAGCTGGAAGAAGAAATGAAAAAGCTGCACCAGGGACACTGGGATGTATCGCCGTGCAGTGAGCTGCTGCTTCGCTGCGGTGCTGCCGTTGCTGCTGCTCCGATGGCGCTGTTGCTGCTGCACGCGCCGTTGTTGCTGCAGCACATGCTGGTGCTGCTGTCAGTTTTTGAGCGAATTCTTTCCCATTGTGCCTTGTTCAGTGCCTCCTGCTGTTTACTTCGACGCGGAGGCGAACGCCTGGGTGGCGGCAGCTCACGACCCAGTGACTGGTAAGACGAAAAAGGCATATTTCTCGTGTTTTTGCTTATCTTTATATTTCCTTTCCATCATTTCTCTTTCTCTGATGCCCCTATGTGTCCCGCCACCGCATTTCTGCCACTGTGTCTGCTGCTACGTCAGCAGCTTCTGCAGCGCCCTTTTTGTCTTGGCTGTTATTTTTCGTGTCAGTGAGCTGCGCTGCATCTACAGGCCAGCTGGTGACCAAAGCCTTCCCCGTAGAAGAGACCCCCGGGGGCGCAGCAGCAGCTCGCAGCGCCGCCATAGAGGCGCGGCTGGAGATGGACGGCGATGACGAAAAGGAAGTGCGAATGGGTCTTGGGCGTGGCGGGGTGGAGCACGAGGAGGAGTCCCAGCAGGTACCAGTGGGGGTCCCTGAGGCCAGCCCCGAGGTGGCCTTGGCGCAGCAGCAGCAGCAGCAGGAGCCGAAGCTCGAAGACCCATCCGCATTCGAGGCCGCAAACGGATGCCCCCCCAAACATGAGCTGCACTCGCAACAGCCGGACCTGCAGCAGCAGCAGCAGCAGCAACTGATGAAGCCCGCGCCGTGTGGCGCCGCTGAAGGACTGCCTCAGCTGGACCCCTCGGGTTTAGGTGCGCTCGAGCAGCAGCAGCAGCAGCAGCAGCAGCCTGTTAGTGATGTGGCATACGGCGGGGACTACGCAGCAGCAGCAGCAGCAGCAGCAGCAGCACCTGCTGCCGCTGCTGTTGCAGCAGATGAAGACGGTAGAGCGAAAGCAAGAAAAAGACGCCGAAACCCCAGTGCTCTTGTAGGGGCTCCCGGGGGGGGCCCCCTCAGCTCTAAGGGCAGGAGGCCCCGCAGCGACAGTGCTGTGTATGAGGGTCTGGATCAGAAGAGGGGCTGCGCCTCGCCTGGGTCCCTTCATGGCGCCGAGTCTGCTGCTGCTGCTGCTGCTGCGGCAGTTGCTGCAGCAGCCAGCACCCCGGCGGTGGTAGACGTGCTTGGAGAGGCGGCGAAATCCATGGACCCGTCTCAGTCTTCCGCTAACCAGGAAGCAGTCGCAGCAGCAGCAGCAGCAACGGCAGCGTTTCAATGCTCTGCAGCAGCAGCAGGCCTTGCAGCATCAGGCGCTCTGGCGGCAGCAGAGACGCAGCACCAGCAGCAGCAGCCGCAGCAGGCTGGGACTCTGGGGATCGCGGGTGGCTTGTGCGGCAACAACCACACTGCTGCTGTGCAGGTGCAGCAGCTCTCAGCGCTGCTGGTACCTGAGCATTTGCAGGCCCCGCCCCCGCCGCCACAGCAGCAGCAGCAGCAGCAGAAACCCTACTGCTGCGCGCAGCACCTAGAGATGCTGCAGCAAATGGATGAGATCCAGCGGCAGCTACCTGAAGTGGCCCTCTGTAGGCAAAGTATGTACAGGAGATTGGTTTCTATGCCGGAGCAGCCAGTGACACCGGAGCAGCTGCGGGAGATAGAGTCCGCGCGGGCGGACTTTGACGAGTTGTCGCAGCAGCAGCTGCGCATGGAGCAGCAGCTGCAGCTGCTGAACCAGCAGCAGCACTACCACGCACTGCAGCACAGAGCAGAGCTGCTGCAGCAGCAGCAACAACAGGGAATACCGCAGCATGCGCCACCACCGAGCCAAGACCTGCTGCAGCAACAGGGGATTATGAATGAACAGGACCTGCTGCAGCAACGGGTGCTGCAGCAACGGCTGCTTCAACAAAGGGTGCTACAGCAGCAGCTGATGCAGCAGCAGCAATTCATCCAGCAGCAGCAGCTGCTGCAGCAGCAGCAACTGATGCAGCCACAACAGTTGCAAACGCAGCAGCTGCAGCAACAGCGCCTACCTGCAGCTGCAGATCCTTTTTCTCAGCTCAGCGCTGCTGCAGTGAGTGCTGGCGCACAAGGTGCAGTGGCTGACGAGCAGCAGCAGCAGCAGCAAGCTTTCTTCGCTCAGCCAACGTTTTGATGCTGCGGCAAAGCCGCTGCGACGTTTGTCTTCACGAGGTTGTTGTTCAGCCCTAGGGCTTCGTGTGTATACTATTAGGTCTATGCGCAGCTCTAGGGAATCTGCAGCTTTAGGGTGCATATGCAGCATCATTGTTGCTGTGGCCAAGCCTCGGCCTGTGCGAGGCCAAGCTAAACGGGTGCTGCAGCTTATGAATTGTTTTCGGCATTGCTGCTGCTGCTGCAGCAGCTCGCGGGATCTCCTGTGGGAGACGCAGGCGGTGGGCTGAGAGGCGCAGGGGTTGCCAACGTGACTTCTTTGATTTGGTAGTTCTAAGATCTGCAGACTTGAAAAGTCTGAAAAGAGCAGCAACGGTGAGGCCAGCCAGCTGGCCAGATGGCTTTCGGAATAGCCAGTCTAATTGCAATCTCAAATAGCCAGCAGAAGAAGGATAATTCCTTTTTAGCTTTTGAACGCCGTAAGTGTAAGCAGCACGGAACCAAGCGCAACGCAGCAGCAGCTGGGGAAATTATGAGGGGCCCAGAAGGTATATAATTTTAAGTGAATCTTTTAAAGCCCCTTTTGCAAGTTAACTCTTCTGAGAGTCTATACAGCAGAGAGTGGAAAGCGAAGGTCAGTTCTGCCCTCTACGCCGAGTGCGCCGTAGAGTGTTTCTGCTGGATCCTGAAGACGAAGTGAACAAAATATGAGTTAAAATGGCAATTTTGGGAAGGCTTTTTATATTTTTTGGGGGGGGACGAGTTGCTTACCATTCCTTTGTTGAGCTGCTCAATAATCCTGTCGCTGCGATGCACGCGAGAGGGCCGCGGCAAAACCACTGAGGAAGCAGGAAAGCAGGAATTAGCCGAAGCAGCAAATTGGATTAAAGAGCTTCAGGGCCATACCGTTCACATGGCCGAAGCCGCCGGACTTGGTGTCAGTGACATCGCTGGCGACGGGAAGATCTGTCACAGTGGTTACGATGGAGCCGGCTTGCCACCGCTGCCTGTGGCGTTCCGCAGCCATTAATAAAAGATAAGTTTATTCAAGAAAGAAAAAAGAATGAAGGCATTGTGGAGAGACCTGTCAGGGGTCATTTCCTTCTGCATGAGCATCCTGTACAGAAAGAAATACAAAACCTGCAGACAGCATTTGGCCCGCCTGAAGTGCAGCAGCAGCAACTCACGTGCACATCAGCGTAGTGCCTGAGTCAAAGTTTACGTATGCAGCAATTGAAATAAAACAAGTAGCTGCAGCAGCAGCAGCAGCAGCAGCAGCATCGCTAGTCTACCGAGAGCTTTCATCAGGTCCTTTGCAAAAGGCCGAGACGCAAGGGTCTTGAGCCTTGCCAGAGCCGCGTCGGCCGGCCTGCAGGGAAGCTGGAGTTGAAAGAAAAACATGAATTCTGATTTGGCATTTTATTACCTGCCCCCCGACATGACGCGCGTGTTCAGCACGGCTATCTCTTGAGCTGAAGGCCCAGTCATTCGGAAATTCATCTTGCAGCTGAAACGCGAATTGGTACCTGTTTGAAAAAGCTGTTTTCCTTCGTTCACGGCTGCTTTTGGACAAGGCAAACATGAAAAAAATGAAATTAATCAAAATTCAACGAATAAACCAAAGTTTTCTTGCCTGATTCAACGCAAACCATCAATTCTTTCAAAGTTGGCGAAGAACTGCCTGAGTCCAAATTCAACTTTCGTGCTTGGAGCCGCAGCAGCAAAACAAAACATACATGTTGTCACATCAGGGGCTCCCGGAACTCCTGCATGTGCAAAAGAACAGATACTATTGTTTTTGTTAATTGTTCTTTAAAGTTGAATTATGCCCACCTAGTCCATTCATGAAAGAGGCTATTCCTGCTGCTGTGTTGATCAGTTGACTGAGCCATGGCGGCAAAGGCTGCAGTTAAATCATTTACGCGTTTCTTTTCCCAGGCCAATATTTACTTACGAAGTTTAGCTTTGAGAAACCAGGAAGCGGAGCCGCTGGCTGCGGAAGCGCGATTGGCTGTGCCTGCAGCATCAGCAACAGCAGTTGTTCATGATCTACAGAGCAACAGCAATATGAGCCCTTCTTACCGCCCCAGAAAGAGCAGCAGCCTCAGAAACAGCTGCTTTTTCATCCACTGGAAGTTCCGTGATATCAGGCCCTGAGTATGGCCACGGTCGGCCACCACCGTACTCTGGACCCAGGGCATTAGGAATGGTTCTTGTGCCTCCAGGTCGATATGCTGCTGGTTCCTCCGAAGTCACCCTGATGCTCCCTGGGCTAGGGGCCCCCAGAGGCCCTGAAATGGTGCAAGAAAAACTCTTTTTGTAGTTCAGTATGCTGTTGGCAGTGAAGCAGTGGGTTACCGTTGGGAGCCACATGCACTTTCAGTCCGCATACTCCGCGAATTGCAAGCACTGAGGTCCCTGCTAGCAGTGCAGCGAATGTGCCTTTCATTTAATCGGTCTAAATATGATTAGGCATAGAGGATAGGCGAAGTGTTCCCTGCGGCTGCTGTTGAGCCTTATTTTTCAGCTGCGTACACCTCAGCTCATTCAACTTGCAGTCAGGTGTCCTGCGACCTCAGAGTGCAACGAATCTTACTTTACTGAATTAGAGTGAATAAGAACGTTTCCCATTAATTCACTCCTAATATATCTCAGCATGGCTGATACGCATTGTCCTCCCTCTTGTTCTTGCTAGATTTCTTTTGCCCGTGCTTTCTTCAACTTTCTCAACGTGCAGATTGGAAGCGACCCTCGAACTGAACACAGTCAACAGAAGCAATACATTAACGCGGAGTGGCCTCAGTGGAAACTGCACCATTTATATCAGCCGAATGGAACCATGGCAAAGCAAAATGACACTCAACGGCTGACGAGGAAAGCTGTACAACGAGTGCACTCCACTAAAATTCAAATTTTCAAATAGAGCACTGCGTTCCGTCCTACCGCCTTTATGGCTCTCCCTTAATGGCAAAAGCAAGTAGCACAGCTATTCGCTTCTATTCAGCAGAAGCATGCGCTTGACAGTTTGCCAGCCTGATGCGTTACTCGAAGCAGTAAAAGTTAAATTCAGTATAAACTGTAACACATGCCAATCATCTTGTGTACCAAGTTGTCTTAACTACCCCACTCTACTACTTGGTCAAAAAAAAGTCCCCGAAAAAGACGAAATAAAAGCACTGTTTGGAGGCAGCTGCAGCAGCAGCAGACCGCAGCAAACAGTTGCCTGGTGCGTTCAACTCCTGCGCTGCCGCTGCCACTGCCGCTGCGCTGCCGCCGCTGCCCCTCAATACTAAGGGCAAAATGGCGTGCCTGCGGATAGCAATTTAGTCTATTTGAGAAGCTGGAGCTAAAGTGCCCCAGACGAGCCTCAGTAACAAATGAAAAAGCACCAATAGCTGCAACTGCAGAAGCTGCTGCAGCAGCTGCACTTTGTCCTGTGAACTTCAACTCCGGCCCCTCCGCATGCCTCATCAGTCAGGCACAACTTTTGTGTCAAAATTCTGCTGCGGGCGACGGCTTATAGGCACAAATGTGCAGCCACGACAAGACAAATGCACGGACAAAAACACCAGAAGGTAGCTGTAGAGCTGCCTGTGTCTGCATCGGTTCCCAGCTGGCCACCAGTTTGCCCACAGCCAGCCACCAGCTAGCCGCCAACTGGGGCAATCAGACGCCGCTGTGCCAGCCACTAAACAAGAAGCCCACTAGATATCCGCTAGCTGTTCCCCAGCTGGCTACTTGGGTATCTGCTTTCAGCAGCAGCTTCCCCACTGACTTCCTGCCGGCTGTCTGCCTTCAAGTGCTCGACCCAAGGGTCTCCCTGCACTTCTGAAATGAACTTCGGTTCGATTCTCAAGCGCCAGAGGAAGCAGCAGGCGCATGCAAAGCCAATCACGCCGTTGATGGACCACAAGTAAATTACCTGAGACCCACAGCACCAGCGCCATCTTAGCTCTGTGGCTTTTCTTCAACTTTCAAATTTGCAAGCAAATGACGAGAACCACAGACACTGCAACAAGGGCTGCAACAGCAGTAAAAGCGACAGCAAGAAGTGCAGCAGAAGCAGCAGAAACGACGGCAGAACCAGCAGAAGCAGAAGTCGCAGAAATGTGCAGAAACAGAAATGATGGGAGCTAAAGAGGGAGCAATGCAGAAGTGGAGGCAGAAACAGAAAAATGCACAAGGCGAAGAAGGAGCAGTAGCACAGACAGAAAAAAGCCGCAGAAGCAGAATTCGCATCGCAGAGACGGCAAGAAACAGCAGCGGGGGCAGCAGAAGCAGAATAGATGGGTGCAAAGCAAAAGCAGCAGCAGCAGCACAAGCGGGAGGAGGAGAAAAAGCATAAGGAGAGAAATGCACAGGAGACAAGGATGAGCAGCAGAAGCAAGGGAATAAACATGGGCTTTAAAGGAGCAGCAGGATCAGGAGCAGCAAGAGCAGCAGCTGGAGCAGCAGGGCTACGATTGCCAGTAGCAGCGGAGGTAACAGGAGCAAGACTAAAAGCAGCAGCGAGACATGCAGGAGCCTAATTGCGAGTAGCAGCAGCAGCAGGATCAGCAGCAGGAGCAGCGGGAGCAAGAGTTGAAGCAGCAGCAAGCGGGCGGGACTCACCCTCATTCCCCAAAGAAGGCTGGCGGCCTCAATGAGAATGCCCGGGAGAAATGTGCCCAAGACATAACCCAGCACATTGTAGATCATCATGCAGAAGCCGCTGCCGAAGGCTCGGACTTCGACTGGGACTGAGGCGATCACTATGCCCGTGGCGGCGGGCAAAATGCCTCCCCCCAGAAAAAGAATGCACCACATGCAAAAAACAATAAACCAAAAGTTGCTCGACCAGCCAGCCCCCACGCCCAGCAGCAAACAGCCCACAGCCCACAGCAGCAGCACTGACATCGTGCGCCGCATTCCCCGCTCGTCCTTGTAGCCTCCCACGAAGTCTATGAACCAGCCGCCGCCCAAGACCCCCAAAATAGGAGCTGTTGCAGCAGTGGCATTGAAGGACACCAGCACAGTTGCTGTGGGGTACTGCAGCACAGAACCAGACACATGCAAGCAGTGCTGCTGCTGTTGCTGCTGATGCTCCGAAACAGACAGACGTAGCGCTGCTTCTGCTGCTGAAGCTAGCTGCAATGTGAACATATGCCGCTGACACTGGCCGCTCTATGTGAGCGTTTCTGTGATTGTGTTCCAGGGTCTGTGACTGTTGCTGCTAGCACTCCAACTGCTGCTGCTGTAGTTGGTGCTAGCCCTAGTACAGATACTACTACTACTAGTGCTGCTGATGCTGCTCTCGTTCCTGATTACCTGTAGGACCTCGTGAAAGTAAGAAATGGACCAAAACTGAATTGCAGTCACTTCGAAGAAAAGAGCGCAAAGGGCAAAAGTGACGCAAACGTACAGCGGGCTCCTGCAGATGAATTCACAAAAACGAGACACTCCGAGCTTTGTGCATAGATCTATACAGATACTTTTCTCTATCAATATACATTACATATAGATTTATAATGAATACACTTCTATATATACGTTCATGTGCATACATGTACGTGCACATCTACATAATGTGTATATCCACGCCTATATATGTACACATATACATATACCATGAAAATTTGTTCCCGTCTTCTTCCTCCCTTTTGTGATGTGAAGAGCAGCACAGACGGACAGTGGAAGATAGCATTTGCCCAAAGAGGAAAGAAATGGAAAAAAAAGACAAAATATCAAAAACATGCGAGTTTGCAGTTCTACGAGTCCATCCCTCCACCAAAGCATGTATACAGAGAACGTACGAAAACATGCGAGTTTGCAGTTCTACGAGTCCATCCCTCCACCAAAGCATGTATACAGAGAACGTACGAAAACAAAATTCGCACGGAGTCCCCGACCCCGTACGTCTTGGCCACGCTCCGCGGGCTGGACGTTGCTGTTGTCTCCTGTGCACAGCAGCAGCAGCAGCACGAGCAGCAGCATGCTTGGCACCAGCAGCCACCCCAGGCTGATCTCAGCCAAATGAACGAATCAAGAACCTGAAACTGCAGGGTCTGCAGGCCCCTAACTGGGGAGCCTCCAAAAGCTTCAGTGTGCTGCCATACCACTTGCTGCCTCTCTGCTGCTGCTGCCTGCGCCATTTCCCTGCAGTTCAGCTCCAGGTCCACCTCTGGGGGCCCCTTGAGGGGCCCCCCTTCAGGAGCTGCTTGAGCTGCCAGTGCTGCGTCGGCGGGCGCAACCCTGCTCCCGTGCTCTCCATCTTTGCGCGGCTCCAGGGGCCCCTGCGGGGGCCCCTGCGGGGGCCCCAAACCCTCAGCAGTCTCTGCAGCCTGCGCCTGCCGCGGGTCTCTCTGCACCAAAACCATTGGGTCTTGTGTGCCAGAGGCCCAATTAAGAGCCTCAAAAGCAAGAGTAGTTGGGTGGGGGGTGAGGAAAGTCATTTGGTACTGAAAGGTCTGCACGCCTTCGGGGCCGGGCGCAGCAGCGGCGCTGCTGCCTGCAGCAGCAGCAGCCGCCGCAGCAGCTCCCACAGCAGGCGCTGCTCCACAAGCAGCAACGTCCTCCCGAAAGGCACCCGCTAAAGGCGCCCACCGCTCGCCCTCCCGCGAGTCCACAGCCGAGTGGGCCCGGCTCATCAGGGGCCCGGGAGGCCCCCCTTGCACTGGCAAGCCCCGGGGGCCCCAACTTCCCGGGGAAAATGCCCTTTCTGTGTACCTGAAGGCCTCGCAGCCGCAGAAGGCGCTGTGGCGGCCCTCGAGGCGTCGGGGCAACGGGCCCCCTCCGGGGTGTCGAGACACCCTGCGGTGGTCTGCGCTGGTTGCGAAAAAGTCCAGAGGCAGAAAGTTCGAAAGAGGATCTTTTAGGTACTCCGGGAGGTCTGCAGCAGCGCAGACAAAACCTGCAGCATTAGTCATGGGCTGCTTCGCTTGGCGCCCAAGTCCATGCAGCAAATCGCAACAGCTCATGCATGCCCTCGGGGCTGGCTTTTGCATGCATGCACGTATACATGCGCGCATGCATCCGCAGCCAAATGTGCGCATGCAGGCGTACACCCTAATATACACTGTAAGCACGCTCACAGTGTAAACGCGTGCATGCATGCATGCATTTACACTGTAAGCATGCAGATAGCAGTGCATACATGCAGGAAGCAGTGCATTCATGCATGTATGTGAGCATGCATGCACGCATGCAAGTATGGGCACACTGCTGTGGAATGCATGCAACGGCTCTGTCCTTTCCAGCCATGTGGGCGCACCTGAATGTCTATGGGCTGCTTGCACTTGCTTCTTTTCCTTTCCAGCAGCTCTAGGGGCCCCCTGAGTCTCTGCATTTTTGCTTTCTCCTTGCTTCTCCCCAGCGTCCCCAGCAGCACTAGAGGATGCTGGGGGTCCACCAGGTGAGCCTGCGGCATTCCTGGCGCGCCCGCTGCTCCTGAGGCCCTGAGCTCCTGATGCACTCTGCGCCCGCCGAGAGCGGGGCCCCTGCTGCTTGTGGCTGCAGGGGAGTAGGCCCTGGGGAGCCCCCATTGGGGGCCCCTCAGGGCCTACCTTCACCTCTGGAGTCCCTACATCTAAACCTAGACCCAGTAGCTCCTCCTTGTCCTTTCCTGTCTCTGGTTCGGTCTCCGTGTCTGCTTCTTCCTCCTCCCTGGAAGAGGCCACTGAGACGAGCTCTGTGTCTGCTGCTGCTGCTGCTGCTGCTGCAGTAAGGTCAAACTCCAGCAACGAGCGCGGCGTCAGGGCCCAGCCCACAAGCAGCAGCAGCAGACAGACGAATTGCACTGCCAAGGCGTGCCGCCACTCCAGGCCCCCAAATCCTGACTTCCCAGCAGCATCAAACACTCCAGCCGTGACACAACCCAACTGAAGCAAAGCAGCAGCAGCAGCAACAGCAAGATAGGAAGGCGCATGCACGCACCCGGAGAAGCGCACAATGCGTATCAAGGTAAGCGTGGGTTTAGGGTTTAAGGCCCAAACAACAAGTTGCTGCTGCTGCCCCGAAGATGCAGGAGATCCAGAAGGCAGAAAAAACAGCGCAAATCTTCCCAGCAGCCATAACAGCCACTGGCCGCTATCCGAACAGCCCAGCAGCAGCAGCGGCACCAGCAGCAAGAACAACGGCAGCAAGCAGTAGTGCAGCTGCATCAACAACAGGGCCACCACTGGCAGCTGCAACAATATCATCCGTTTCCACAGCGGCCGCCTCCACAGCAGCAGCCGCAATACCACAGGACCACTTATCACAGCAGTTGCAGCAGCACTGCCCACAGTAGCAGTAATGCCCACAAAAGAAGAAATAACAGCAGTAGAAGCAGCATCAGCAGCCTCACCCACACCCGCAGCAGCAGCACTACCAACAGCAGCAGCAGCAGCAACGGCATACCATGGTGCCTATGACGACGCCTCCTTGAGCAAGTCCCATCCAAAGGGTGAGCTGAGAAGGAGGCGCGAAATGGTCCACCCAGACAGGAGTGTAGATGCTGATGGCAGCTTGAGTGAGACCCATCAGCAAACGCGAAACATACAGCATCCTGAAAACATACCAAAGTGACTGCAGCACATAATTCGCGTTGAATTCATTTGCAAATTTATACATTCAAAATGCCTGGAAATGCATGTGAATGCATGCATTTCGTAATAAAATTACATTACTAGCATATAAATGCAACACTTGCGTGTAATGCACAAAAGTGCATTCATTTGGAAGTGGCTGCAGAACAAAACTGGTGTTACGCTCATTCGCAAATGTACACATTGGAAGCAACATGCAAATGCATGCACTTTGCAATATAATCACACTATTAGTGTGTAATGCACAAACATTATATGATCACTTCACCAGCGTGTAATGCACACAGGCCCAACTAACAGCGACAGCAGCAGCAGCAGCAGCAACCCAGCTGATGCAGCTCGAACAGCAGCAGCAAGAGGGGAGGAGAAAGAAATGATGAACGAGCAGCAGCAAAAGTGCTGAAAAAAGGGAATGAAGGAAGTCAGTGGCCCACCAGCGATGCACTGCTACCCCGAACATAACCGTGGCTGCCAAATTGACTGTCATCGTCAGCAGGCAAAAGGACTTCGGCGAAAAACGGGTGAGCCCGCGGCCCACGAAAGGGCTGCAGAGGCCCAGGCCTACGTATGGCAGGGCCCCCAGTAGGCCTGCAGCAGCACATGGCGGCAAACAGAAGCAGCAGCAGCAGCAGCAGTTCCACTAAGTCTTTGCACAAGTGGCCGATCTTCGAGGGCTAACTTGTAGCTCTTCACTACAAATGGGATGCAAATGAAGTGGAATATAGAAATAAAAAAGAATGAAAAAAACGACAGGAGAAAGCGGTTGGTTTCGGCAGCAACGCAAGCAAGCAACACCACAGAAGTGTAGAACAACAGCAGCAGGACAAATGCTTGCAGCACCGAAGCCACCAGTAGCACAAAAAGCATCAGCAGCGAAAGCACCGGCACCACCAGCAAGGGCACTAGCAGCAAACGCAATAGCACAAAGCAGCAGCAGCAGCAGCTACAACAACGAAAGCAGCAGCAGCAGCGGTGGCAGCATCAGCAACGAAGGCAGCAGCGAGAGCAAAAGCACCAGAAGCAGGATCATGACAAGAAGCAACAGCACATTCCGCAGCAGAGTATCAACAGCAGCAAAAGCAGCCCACGTAGCGGCAGCAGCAGCGAAGGATGGAGCATTAGCAGAAGCAGGAGGAGCAGCGAATGCAACAGTAGCAGTGAAAGCAGGAGCAGCAGCAGCAGCACAATCAGCAGCAGCAACACCAAAAACACTGACAGCAGCGGCGAAAGCACAAGCATCGACAGCAGCAGAGGCAACAGTAGAAACAAAGCGCACGCGACAATAAAAACTGAACACAAGCGACTGCAGCAGTAGCAGCAGCAGCGTACAAGCAGCAGCAGCACGACAAGCTGCAGCAGCAGCAGCATCTAGCTCACCTTCAGTAGTCCCATCGAGCTGAAACTGCGCCTTAAGAGTCGACAATATGGCGGGAACTACCCCCGCATCAAAGTTGATGAAAACTTCAACAAGAAAAAACAAAATAAAAACCCAATAGACGCCGCGGCTGCCCTGGGGAGGTCCCCTTGGGGGGCCCCCCACAGCAGTTGCCCGCGGGGCCTCTCCAGGGGCCCCACAAGCCCCAGGGGCCCCCAGGGCCTCCGAGGCCAAAAGGCCCCCTTGAAAAGGGCTGGGAGGGCCCCCAGCATTCTTGTGGGGGGAGGAGCAAGGGGAAGGGGGCCCCTTCGGGGGACCCCCAGGGGGGCCCCCTTGCTTGCCTGTTTGGGAGGGGGGGCCCCCCCCGTGGCTCCTTGGGGGCCCCTCCACCCCTTGGCCACTTTTGCCAATATGATTTAACTGGCGGATTTCGCTGCTGGCGCTTCGGGGGCTGCTGGCGTCAGCTGTAGTGACAGCAGACTGCTCGTCTTCTTCACTTATTTTTATTTCAATTTCTTTTCTCATTTCTATCTCTTTCCTCAACTCCAAAGACTCTCCCCCAGGGCCCCCCGCAGCAAAACCCCGGGTAACGCCCCCGCCAGGGGCCCCCAGAGGGGCCCCTCCACTGGACCCCGGAGGGGCCCCCAGGGGGGCCCCCGCTGCAGGTGTCCCCTCGGGGCTGTTCCCCGTAGAGGTAATCAGCCGTGCCTCAGGCGGTACCCCAAGAGGGCCCCCTGGAGGGGCCCCCTCTCGAGAATTTGCAAGGGGCCCCTCGGGAGGGTACTCTTGGGGGGGGCCCCCCGCTGTGGCCCCTGAAGACAGGCCTGCCCCAAGAGACCCAGAAGTCTTGGGGCCCTCGGGGGGCCCCCCAGCAGCAGCAAAAGCTGCTTCAGACTCCGGCAGCAAGTGATAGATTGTCTTTGCATCTTGCCTGGGGGCCACCTTCTTGGAGGGGTCCCCCCTAGGGTTCGAGGGGGCCCCGCTGCGGGGGCCCCTTTTGGGGCTGTTGGGGGCCTCTGAAACGGTGTCGGCTTGCGCAGGCTCTGGGCAGCTGCTCGAGGAAGCAGCAGCAGCAGTTGTTGTTGCTGCTGTTGCTGCTGCTGCTGCTGCTGTTGCCGCTGTCTCTACTGCTTTCGATGAAGCAGAAACAATGACGGTACTGGGGTTGCTCTCCTGAACACTGCCGTCCATCTCGACGACCGATGTTGCTGCTGCTGCTGCTGATGTTGCTGCAGCTGCTGCTGCTGTTGCTGCTGCTGCTGCTGGGCCCGTCGGGGTGTCTGGGCAGTGCGGTGTACAGGCAGCAGTTGAGAAGAACTCTAGTTCTGAATCTCCATGGACAAAACGACAAGAAAGACAACTGGAAAAAGTCAGAGACGGAGCAGGAGCTGCGGCAGCTGCCGCTGTTGCAGCTGCAGCTCCTGTTACCGCTGTTGCTGTTGCTGCTGCTGCTGCTGCTCTTGATGCTGCCGTTATTGCCACTCCTCCTGCGATTAACGAGGCCACTCTGCTGCTGCTGATGCAGATGAGTGTTCGCCCTGTCTCTACAGAGGCAGCCTGGGCAGACACCGCAGCGCCAGGGGCTCTTAAGGGCCCCGTCTGCCCCCAAGTGAGAAACTGGCTGCTGCTGCTGCAGTGCTGCAGCTTGAGGTGCACAGACAGCGCGCGATGGGGGGGAGAAAGAGAGAGAGCAACCAGCTAAGCACGGAGAGGCAGCCCCAGCACACGGCGGTCGATTCGCGGGTTTGTTTCCCCCAGGCCATGAACTTTGGGGCTTCAAAAGACCCTACAGAGCTGTACATGCGCCGAAGGTTCTTTTGAGGAGCTAAAAATAAGAAGAAGAAGAGGAAGCCGTACGGAGGCCGACTGGGGGTGCTGGGAAAGCAGGGAGCGGCACTAGCGGCGGGAGGGAACGGTGCTGCGGTTGTTGAGTGGTGTTGCGAAGAGTGATCCAAATTATTATTTTTAAAGTAGTTGAATTGCGTTTCTTCTTTTAATTTATCCCTTTTGCTATTCGAATAAGTCGGAGGCTGCCAGTAAACGCTCAGCAGTCACGCCTCGGTGGACAGACCGCCCGAGATGGTTCAGCACGGCTGAATTGTGGGGAGAGCAACATGAAGAGCAAAAGTGTTAAACTTGCCTAAATTAAACTCTTTAGTTTTAATTAAAAGGAGGATCAACGGGGAAAAAAAGACATATACACAGCAGAAAGCAGCGAAGGCTCCCCCGGAGGGCAAAGACGCACAGAACGAGCTGCCTGTAAATCTGAACACAGTTAGCAATAAGTATAGTGCACGACAAAAATATCTAAATTAAATAAATGGAAAGTGAAATAAACAATTAGGAAGAGGAAATAAAACTAGGCAATCAGCCTCCAGATGAGCACAGCAGCAGTACGGATATCTCGAATAATGAAGCTGCGAGGAGCCAAGGGAAGCGCTAAAATAGGACCAAATGGATCACAATAATCAGAAAATGAAATAATGAATTAATCCCAATTTGATCTGGGAGAATTAACTCTTTTTCTGCTCCCAGATCCCTTCATTTTGCCGTTTGCGCATATGCAGCGACATATCGATTACTGCAGTGCAAGTTCTTATTGTATGCTCTGGAGCTTTTCCAATTCACGTTTAGGTTCATTTCAATTATTATTTTTGAATTTGTATTTATACTCGCACACTGGCTTACATTTTAACAGTTATATGTCAACTTGCCCTCCCACCTTTGCTTTGTGTCTGCATTGATTCTTATAAGAGTTTCATGTTTCTGTTTGCATGCAGCCTGGGATGCCTGCTTTTCCCCTTGCTTCCCTGTGCAGCACTCTCACAATCTTCTCTGACTAGATTTTTGCTGCTAGCTAGACACAGCTATCCAGCAGCAGCTACCTGATGAGCTAGCTAGCTTCCCAGCTAGACGCAACCGTCTCGCACTACACAGCTAGCCACAGCTAGCTAGCTGTCGCTACCAATATCCGGCAAACTGCACCTAGCTAGCCCGAACTTGCTGGCCACAGCTAGCTAGCCACGAACAGCTAGCCATAGCAAGCTAGCTAACCACGGCTAGCTAGCCACAGCTAGCAAGCCACGGTCGCATCCTTCCCACAAGCTTGCACTTCTCTTCATCTTTTGTGGCTGTGGTGGCAATTATAACTAGGGTGCACTTATCAGCAGAAACAGCAGCTGCAGCACTAGCAACAGCAGCAGCGCCACTAGCAGCAGCAGCAGCGCCGCTAGCAGCAACACCAGCTGGCCAAAGGGATGGAAAGCTTTTTTCGACTTTCTCATCTAGAAAACAAATTAAAATTAGGAGAGGAAAAGCGTACATTTACACTATGTGCACATTTGTATGCTTACAACAACAGCAGCAGCAGCAGCAGCAACTGCTGCTGCTGCTCCCGCCGCGATCAGCCGTAATGTCGTTGCGCTTTTGCTGCAGATGCGTCTTCCGCCTGTGCACGCCTTGCTGCTGCTGAGGCTGCAGCGGAAGCTGCTGCTGCTGCTGCAGCGTTAGTCCCAATCAAAGAGTTCTAGAATCGTGCCTAGAAATCCCTGGGGAGTCCCCTCAATAGCTTCTTCTGGGGTTCCTACATATCTGATAAAACAAACAAGACAAAACAAGACAAAAAGACTTTTAAATAATCAAATGAAGGGAAAACATATGGGATTATTTAATTTGATTTAGTTTCATAAGTGTCCACTTACACTTGCTCCTCCCCCATTGGGTGCTGGGGCCTGAAGGAGGTGCCGCGTCTGCCTGCTGCGGCTTCTGCTGCAGCAGCGGCTGCTGCTGCGTCTGCTGCAGCATCGACCTGCGGCACTCTGGCGGCGTAGCAGGCGTCCAAGTCTGTGATGTTTCCGTAAGCCCGCAGAGCGTCTATGTTGCCTTCTACTGCTTCAGTTTCTCTAACCCGCAGCTGGTACGTGAGGGTGACAGAGTAGTAGATGATTAGCAGCACGAAGCCGCCCATGAACAGGCTGGAAGCAGCAGCAACGTTGCTTTCGAAGTAGCACCACAGCAGCAGTACGTTGGAAACAAAAAAGCAAACGGTGCCCAACACAAACAAAAAAAACACCACTCCTTGTTCGCCTTTCATCTTATCTACAGCTTCGTCCACTGACCGCACCCCGTCGGGGCCCCGCAGAGCTAGCCCAGGGCCCCACATGCAGCAAAATGTAGTTGTTATTATGACGCATAGTTGCAAACCCAAAGATAATGCGGCCAGCAACAAATAAGACGCTTCCAGCGCAAAAGGCAGGTTCTCAGGCAAGGAAGTGGTGATCTGCGAAAAGGCAAATCCAGCCAACAGCGCCGCTGCGAGCAGGAAATAGCAGGAAAAAACAAGTGAATCGCCATTTTGCAAGTCTTTAAATCGAATTACTTTGCGATTATATTCAATTATTCGACAGCGAAACTGAAGCTGCTGGCATCGGTGCTGAAGTGTAAAGGCAGGTTCGCTACTCGTGCAGGAATGAGTAAATGCGCAATTAAGCGGAAAAAATGCAATTTATCCCTGAATAATCAATGCATGGTAATTATTTACGATAAAGATAAAAGAAATAAACCAATATTCTGAATTAATAGGCATCAAAACAGCTTCTTTGCTTGATTGATATTTACCCTGCTGTGACAGCGTCCAGTAATTGTTTGTGTACCAGTCAAGCTCCAACTGCCTGATTTCAACTTGCTGCTTCGCCACAGATGTCACCACCTGATTCTTGAGCAGCTGCAGCATCTTGTATAAGTATTAAATCGATTGGATGACCAACTTATTTGTATTCAACTCAATGTTGTGAGTGCAAGACAGAGGTTGCTACATAGGCCAAATAAATTCAGGCACCAGGCAAGTCGCTGCTGCTGCAGTTGCTTCTGCGGTGCTGCTGTATGCTTTCCTCAGGAGTTGTGCCGCTGCTGCTGTTGCTGGCTGCTGCTGCTGCTGCTGCTGCAGCCGCGGCAGCCGCTGCCGCAGCCCCCGCTGCTGCCGCCTCTGCAGCAGTTGCCGTTGCCAGCGCTGCCTCTTCGAAAATAGTGTGACCGCTGTTGTTTTGAAAGCCCCCGCTGTTGAGACTGATGCTGCTGCTGCTGCTGCTGCTGCGGATTTGGGAATAAGCAGCGGGGAGACTCGGAACAGCTGCAGCAGCAGCGCCCGTGAAAGCAGCGGCCCTAATTACGTGTCTGCGGTCCCCTTGGCCTCAAGACAAAGGACTGATAGAGCCCAAACAATAGAAAAGTGGACAACTGGGTTAGTATTTAGGGTTTAGGGCTTTGGGCTTAAGGCTTGGCCGTTGCTGCTGCGTGTCGTTCGTGAGTCAGCCAGGAGAAGCCGGCGGGAGAGAGAATAAACGAGAACGCAAAAGCCTTATAAGACCTGGCAACAGAACAAAAACCGAAAATAAAACAGAGAGATTATTAAACGATTCATTAAAATGCACCATTGAAGCAAGGCGAGCCAATCATGGGAAGCTTAAGGCCTTGGTCCCGCAGTCGGCGGCAGCAGCCCGTGTGGCTGCTGCTGCTGCGGTTTCACAAATACACACAGCCTGAGGCCAAAAATTCAAAGTCGAACCTTTATTTATCGTGCAATTAATTTAAATGTCTTTTTTTCGACTCAAAGTCGGGCAAGCCTCCATGATGATTGACTCAGCTTGCTTCCGGTTTTTGGGCAGCAGCAAGTGGCAATGGACCACAGCAAACTCCACACAGCGGCGAAGAGGAACATACAGTTCACTGCCGTTCATTAAATTCGAAGTACCTTTATTTCGCGTACTAAATAAAATAAATTCTAGTTCGAGACTAAATAATTCAATTCAAATTGATGCAGCACAACTGCTGAGGCTACCTGCACGTGCGTGCCCTGATCGCTGAAACCCAATGATACAAATCAGTTCTTGATGAAGTCCTCCTCGTCATTTCGTTCACAATGGATTCTAATTAAATTTATTTTGTTTTCCTTAATGAACTTTTGAATAGACTGCTCTGCTTTAGTTTTTTTGCTTTCTTTGAAAAATCACAAAGCCCGTTCGATATCACTACGATATCAGTACTGTGTTTTTGTCCGAACCCAACGCCCCACGATGGGGAAACCCTATTCGTAGACTATATCCATCGTACGTGACAGAGGAAATAAATAAGTAATCTGTGTCTGAAGTCATTCCCGTTGGTTATGCATAAACTAAACGTGCACTACTTAGGGCCATGAGCTCTGCAGGAACAAGCAGCAGCAGTAATTGAAACACAGCAGCAGCAATAGACGCAGCAGCTGTTGAGGCAGCAGCAGCAATAGACGCAGCGGCAGTAGAGGCCGCAGCAGCAATAGACACAGCGGCAGTAGAGGCCGCAGCAGCAATAGACACAGCGGCAGTAGAGGCAGCAGCAGCAATAGACACTTCAACAGTAGAGGCAGAAACAGCAGTAGGTGTAGCAGCAGCAAAAGCAGCAGCAGTGGATACAGCAGGCAATGCTGCTACCGGAGAAACTGCTAGTGGTTTGCGACAGACTGCATTACGCGCGGATAAGACACAAGAACGAAACAGCACCCCAACTTATTATCAAATCAAATTTCTTTTGCTCAAACAAACAAGAGCAACTGATGTGGCCCCCAAGAATGTAAGCCGTAACAGGGGCCCCTGGGGGCCTCGGAGGGGCACCTAAGTGGGCTCCAGGGGCCCCCACAAATGCCCTTTTGGCAGCTTCTGAGGCCAAAAGGCAACATTTCGGCGAGACCATTTCGGGCCACAAAACGGATCTTTGAGGTCCCTAAGAGGACCCCAAAAGGACCCCCTAAAGTCGGTTTTGCGGGGCCCCC